GGGAGAGTTTTACTGACGGGTGGTCATGGGTTAGACTCCATGCAAGGAGAGTTTTACTTGTATTTTATAGACCGACCGGCACTTGGTACGTGATGTGGCTAGCATCACGCTAGCCCACTTTACTTCCAATTAATTTACCTACTACCTAATTAATGTTCGGTCCACCTGACAGCAATATCCTTTTTAAAAACAGTCCAGCTTTATCGGGACCTAAACCCACGAACTTCGGATCCACAGTGAAGCTTTTGGCCTCTACGATTCAGGCCAGAAAATTGCAGGCCACAATATTCCCTCTGAGGAAAAGACCAAATGTATGATTTTGAACACGTCACACATAAGTTGCAAGCTGATTTTTTTCAAGTATGCCAAGTACGCCTCGAAAAGTATAGACCGGAGAACTTAGAGACAAGTGGTGAGTCTGAGGGAAAGAGAGCTGGGAGAGGGCAAAGTGACAACAACTTGGATTGCCTGGTCACAAGGAGACTTCGGGGCAAGAACATTGACCTTATCCATGATTCTGGTTATTATATGAGGCAGGAACCATGATTGCCCACTTTTATAGACAGATCTTATGTTGATGAAGATATGTTATTGTTCGTTACTATTATCTTTGTCATTTCAGCTTACTCAATGAATGCGTTCCAATCTAGTGCAGTCACTCTTTATTTACACCGCCTGCTCTTTAAGACACGATTCAGGAGTATTTCGCTTATTTTGTTCAACTGTTCAACAAAGTACTGCAGACGCCCTATATCAACCAGCTTTAAATAGATTTTTGATTTCGCATGTCTGTTACCCTCCGCTTTATCTACTTCGTTTTAAACACAAGGATCATTTTCATTGCTCTCAGATAACTCATTAAGTGCACCAGTCAAATCTCACCTGTTACAGAGTAGCTTCTCCTGACAGTGCATGGAAACCGTATGAGCGACGTGGATCCAAGTAAGTGCATGTCAGCATCGGGCATGTTGTAAATCCTATTTTGTAGGTAGATTTTATGTCAGTGAAATTTCATCTGACCAGACTTCCATTGTAAAGTGAGTAAAGGACCTTCATACGTCAAGGATGCTTCGGGTGTATGATGCTTGTCTCATATGCTTATAGATCGACCAATACTATTTGGGTGATGTAGTCAATATTACGCCGGCCGCCTTAGACCTCCTGCTTGTTTTAGGCAGGGTCTACCTGGGAGCCAAAGTAAATTATAAAAATCACACGTGCCTCGATAGCAGTTTGAGTCCAAGATCGTAGGGTCGGCAGGCGAACGTGATACCACTAGGCTAACGTGGCTCCGGGGATCTATTGTAGTTGCTGGTATCGATTTACAACTACAAAGGGACTTCTAATGGGCACTAGGAACACGCAGATCCTCTGGAGTTTTCCTGTTATGTTGGACACAATCAGCAGTAGGGTCCACTAGAATAGGTGAGATTGAAGAATGTCACTTAAAAAACAATGATTAAAAAATGATTTGAAACAATCCAGATTGTGAAACGTACCAGAGTCTCACACTGTAAATTACAATGGCGTTATTGAATAATGATTAGTATTTCGTGCCAAACCTACATTAACACGCTGATTAATATGTAGCTTGAAACAAGCTGCTGGAATTAGATTTTGTGTGTGTGTGTGTGTGTGCAGGAGGTAGATCTACTTTTCCACACCAATTGTAGTCGGTGCAAAGACAGTGATACCTACATGACCAAGAAGGCTAAATCTACACTTGTTTCTGACACCGTTCGTCTTTCTATTACCAATATGAAATAGAAAGAAGAACGATTTCAGAAACAAGTGTCAATTTGGCGTTTTTGGTCATAAAGGTATCCCTCACAGGAATACGATTGTTTCTGATTTATTTTGGTTAATTATGTTTCCTTTAATATTTTTTTTTGTGTTGTTGTTTCTTTTCGTTTAAAAAAAAAAAAAAGACTGTTTTGGTCCTTAGTTCACACATTTTCGTTTTGCGATCTGGACTGCCTTCATTGAGATTTCGTCTGTATAATATCTATTTATTCTGTGACTACATGCTGCGGATTAAGAAAACTGTTTGGGGAGTAAATATGATGAGCGTGAAAATCATCAATCAAATCACCAATCGAATATCAATTGATTAATATGGCCTTTAGCCTTGTTTCATATAACCGGATGAGCAAATCTTTATAAACGTGTCTTTTAACTTCTTCGTCTTTTTCTTTTTCTTCTTCTGCCGTTTTAACCCCAGTAAAGCATAGGCTGTCGTTCTATCCTTGGCTTTTGCTTGCAGCTCTCCAATGTCCTTCCCATCTTTGTGACTTGAATTACTAGCTCCCTTTTCGATGTTATAATTTGATTTTCCTTTAAATTGTAATAGCAATTTTTTAATGATGTTTATATATTATCAATCAAATCAGCCAGATTTTTGCATGTGTCCTGTACGTGATCTTATCACCTGCTTTTGATATGAGCTGTTAGTCACGTGTTTTATTTTATACAGAGAAACAAACAGATGGGGAACCCTTTAGGCGGTCATCATTATCATCATCAGGTACCTTGCCGACTGGCGTGGGTGATCATGCCTCTCCATAATCCACGATCTCCTGCAGCATGTATCAGTTCGTGTGCCGACACACCCCCATTCCACTTTAGGCGGTATCACCATTATAAATAATAAATAAAAGACACTGATGTTTCCTCATAGAAAGATAGAAGGCCACACTAGACTATACACATTTCGAAAGCCATAGTCTCCATGCCGTAAATCAAAACTGTCACCTTTCAAATGGTGTCATCGCTTCGCTGCAGAAACAAGTGTACTAACATTGTTGCATTCTGCCCACCAAAACAAGTCTGTCGTTCTTGCTGCTGCAGCCGCAGCTTCCCGACCTCTCTCCAGATCCCCTAACGTGTACAATTGTTGTGATTGTCAGTTCGTGTGTGAACCCAGCAGTATGTACCCAGAATGATTTGCCCTCTTTAGGGCCCCCACAGTAACCCATACGGCAATTTCTTAGATTGCACATAGAGTCCGTTGCTGAAAGTGTGCTAAGAGCTGAAGTTTATAATTAGTATTTTTTTTTTTTTTAAAGCAAAGAAAAAAAACACGAAGGGGTGCTGAGAGATGATGTTTACAATTTACATGAAGAAAAAAAATCATGTAGGTTTTGAACTTGGCCCCTTAGGACTGTAAGGCAGATGAGATACCAACTATACTAGACATTTACAGGACAAAAAAAAAAAAAAAAAAAAAATGACCACTGTTGTGCACCAGCTTAATGTGCACAAACACAGGAAAATGCACACACACACACACACACACACACACACACACACACAAAACAGCAGCGAATTACATGCCAAATTACTAAGTGCACGCTTCATACCCCCTGACATGGTCGACTGTCCCGTCAACTGTTGATTTCCCGTGGATTTCCCTTGTTTGGGGTTATATATATATGACGATAGTACCACACAAGATATCTTCATTAGCCATGTCTTGATTGGCACCTTTCCGTCTTTCCAGACTAAAGAGTTATATTACGTTATGAGAAGGCATGAGACTCACAGCCCATGGTGATGGCGAGTGTGACTAGTAAGACCCGCCGGTATCAAGAAATGCCTTCCTGAATGATAGCATGGGATTTCAATACCATTGTTGTAAACCATTTGTGTTTAATCTATCTCTTCTCGGACACTGAGTTCTTATTCTTTCTGCAGTCATTTATTCCTTCACTCTCATTCTGATATGCCCTTCCCACAAAACATGGTCCATTGCATTTTTTTCCCATGTCCACACCAATACCTGTATCATTCATGTCCCGTTCGCACACATCTTTATACCGCAGTAGAGGTCGGCCTCCCATCTTCTTCCCGTCTTCAGTTCACCATAAAGGATGTCTTTAGTGACTCTGCCATCCTCCATTCTCCAGGTGTGACCCAGCTACCTGAGCCTTTGTAAACAGCATTGGTAAGACTGTTGTAGTACCTGATCTTTCCAGCTCCTCAGTGTTTGTGATTTTGTCCTGCCACTTAATGCCAAGTATTCTTCTTAGGCATCTCAGGTGAAAGCTCTTTAGCTGCCTCTTCTGGTGCGAATAAGTTGACCAAGTTTCACTGCCATAAAGCAGAGTGCTGAGAACACAACCCCGATACACAAGAGTTTTTGTTTTAATGGTGAACTGTCTGTTCTCCTAAACTCTTTTTGTCAATCTGCTCATTGTTGTTGCTGTCTCACCTATCCAGATGTTGATTTCTTGGTGCCGCGATAGTTTGTTATTCACTGTGGAACCCAGATAGGTAAATGGTCTACTGTATTCAGCTCTTCTTCAAAGTAGTCTGTAAGTCTTGAACCTTGAACTATGTCTTCTTTTTGCTGGCTGTTAGTCCGGATTATGCATCAGCATACGCAGAAAGTAAGCATTGCAGCTCCTCCTCTGAGAAGGTGAATATTGCGGCAGCATCTGCAAACAGCAGCTCTCTGATAAGTACTTTTCCTATCCTGGTTTTGTCCTTCAGCCTATCCATGTTCTATGGTGCAGTTTATTTCCAAACTAAAAAATAAGGACAAAATTCGTCTGAAACCATTGATATGGCAGCGTAGCTTACAATAATGCACATTAACTCAGCATATGTTGTAAAAATAAACAGAAACAACAATTAAAAACAGGCAAATAAATTATAATTCTCTTGTACGTATGTATGTGTGTTTATGCATCCGTGTTTCATATTCATTTGTTTTACACTACTGGTTTTTTAGCACAGTCACATTCAATCTTTTTGAGCTGTATTTGTCTTACAACTGTCAATGGTAATTTCCAACTGATTTATAGCTATGACATTCCAGCTGTTAGTTTGCTTACCTAGGTGAAGGTAAGTCGACAATTCAGACTCGTATGCTACTTCTCCATACCTCTTCATTCCTAATCTTAAAGTATTCGTTCCTTTCTGCGAAGCCTAAAACAGATGATGTATACATTTGTTTGTTCGATGTTTCAGAAGAGCTCAGTGGAACAAAGCAATCACGTATGTGTACAATCAAATGCAGTGCAAAAGACATGGCGCCAGAGAATTCTGAAACAACAATGTTGATAAGCAAATCCATTGTTCTCCTTCTGTCGTTGATTGTCTACACCAGCCCGGTGTGTGCTGATGAACCTTCTGAACTATATCAGGTAAGTTTCAAATCTTTGGAGACAGCAACACTCCTACAACCATCGTTATCAACCTCATTATCATCACCGTCACAGTGGTTATCATAACCGTCAAGTATATCATCACACTTTTCCCCCTTTTATAGTGCATTACTTGTGGTGTTAGTCTTCAGGTCTGTCGACAGTCTTCTCTCATGTTAGCTGCCAATAATTCCTGTCTTTTTATTCTCATTTTCAAAATTTTGAACATGGCTAAATACTAAACATCACTGCTATAATGCAAGATGTATTTTTTTAGTGATTGTATTTTTTGAAAATATTTCCATTGCTATTTTTGTAATCACCGTCCGTGGAGTTAATGAAACATATAAACTGCTATAGTGCGAATATTGCGGGTACTGTTTTCCACATTACAGTTCTATTCACAATCGATTCTACTGGTTAAATTGCTAACAGTACCAGAGACCGAACAAACACACTTTATTTTCTAAGGGTTAAAAACTGGGGACGCAGTCCAGTCTTACATTCTGTCCCTTTGGTCCCACTTCTTACATACACTATGCAATACATATATCAGATAGCATACAAATAATACACATCAAAATCTAATTCCTAATCACAATTGGGATATGCTCAAATTATGCCACCAATTTCTAAATAGTAAAAACACTAAGTATAGTAAATGTCCGTGGCTTAGGCGTTGCGATGTACCTGGTTCGATCCCCGATGCGAAAGATTTGGTTTCGATAATAGTTAAAAGGGTTTGGGTAGTTACCGGCCACGAAAAGATACCTGTACAAATGCAGCTACTTTTGATTTTTATATGGCCTTCCAGAACAGACAGAGGACTGATTTGGCTGCACTTGATCTTGGGGATGCCTACAATAGAGTCAGCTATGATGTTTTGCTATCTGCATTCATGGAGAAGGGTGTTTATCCCTGGCTTGTGAACTGGATAGCAGTTGTCCTGCGTTCATGTATGTTAGTCTTTTGCGTGGGTATATGGACCTCAGAACCATGTAATCTTTACCCCGGAACTACCCCAGCGTTCTACAATTTCACCAGTGCTCTTCAATGTGTTTTAAAGCAAAATTGCAGACACATGAAGCACTAGGTGTTAGAAGGATACTGACATTTGCTGATGATGTTCTTGCATATGGGCAGGGGCGTATTCGGAAACTGATAGCTCTAGAGCTACAGACAACTGTAGACAAAATGACTGACTGGTGTGCAGAAATGGATACTGTCATAAACTCAAAAAAAGCTGAACAATAGAATTGTAAGCATTAATGTTCCAAGCCTCACAGTTAATAGAGGTAACATCGAAAGAGCAAAAAAAAATGAGGTACCTTGGTATCATTTTCGATAGAAGCCTGTCCTTCTGGGATTACGTGGAGACAGTTGCGGCGAAATGCCAAAAAGGCCTCAATGATCTCAAGATTATGGCAGCAACACAGCAATGGACATGGAACAAAAAATGCTGTTCACAATGTTCCAGCATGTGATCCTGTCGGTGATAGATTATGGACTTTGAATGATTACTATATAAAAGAATCATCTGATGAAACTTGAACGCATACAGAATGAAGGTATGCGGCTAATTCTGGGATGTACAAGAGACACCCCGGTAGTATATATTCAGTATATACTTGTACTGCCTACTATTGCAGATAGGCACAGTTATGCAAGCAAAGTCTCTTAAAGTAGCTGCAGACAAGAAGCACCTTCTACATGAAGCCCTGGGTAGAACTAAGGATCACAGACTGAAAAGAGGAAGGTCTTAGATGGCGCAAGCTGAAAACAGACTTGTGTGCAGGCTTGAAAAATGTTTGCGAGTGGGTCAAAGTTTCCAAGCAAGTTTCAGATTTGTGCAGTGTTTTTATTACTTTGGGTCGTTAGTGCAGGGACTGGCCAGCTGGTGTTGCAGAATCAAAAGTTCAACAAATTATTCAAGTGATGTTATTATCCATACAGGTGGCTCTGTGTTGAGGGGCAGACGAAGTGCATGGAAGCTCAGAGTAAAAGCGAATGGACTTCGCTTGGTGCAACAAAGCCTGGCATATGCTTTCACAGGGTCTAGTTTGAGATTGGGATTGGAGGCAGTCTCTGCTGCATTCCGCTAGCTTGAGAATCAGATGTACACGGGTAGTTAGCATCCTGTGGATATTCTTTCCAAAGTATGCTGTTGTGTTAGGAAATCAACAGTCAGATAGACTGGCCGGTTCTGCATCACTTGGTTGTGAACTGATGTATCACAAGCTAGATGTTGTGAGGGTCTTCTGAGAGCAAAAAGATCATGACGGTCTGAGGAGAATGGCGCTGCAAGGAGTTGCCAGGGGACTGACCACTGCTCAACACTCAAGAGAATGTTGAGACGGATATACAATTAGACAGTTACTGATGCCATTGGAATTGAGTTCTTCGTTTGCTGCTGAAGATGGGGACAAAGCGTTTATGGGAGTGCCCCGAGTGCTATAATGTCGATTCTCAATTAAACATTCAAAATTCGACAATGGTGCCGAGGGCCGACCGTTCGTGAAGCAATAGCAATTTATTAAACATAAAATTTGCCTTAAACAAACAAACAAAACTCACAACATCAACAAGATCAACAACAAAAACAACAAATGCTTGGCTTGCTAGGTCCTGCAAAGGATACTCAGTTAACCTTATAGTAAGTTTCATATATTAATATGAGACGATTGACTATTAGGAAACGACATTTTAAATTGTTGAACAGCTACACTTAAATACCTGCCACCGTTAAGGAATACATGCTAAACTTAAAATACTCTTCCTTCAATAGTAAACACTATTAAAGCTTAAAAATAGATCAATCACTAAAACACCGGTATACAGCTGCCTTATAAGATTCGTTACAGTCTGTTTGCATGGCATGAAATTTTGTCAGCACAAAAAGTGATACATGCTATGGGAGATCGCAGATTGTGGAGAGGCATGATCGCCTACGCCAGTCGGCAAGGCACCTGATGGTGATGATTCTAAACTAACGCTTATATGACGCTTGAAACGTGAGTAATTCAAACATTTAATAATGATGCGCAAATGACACAACAATGAAGCAGAAGTTTAAGCCATCAAAATAGCAGCAGAGAAACTGTTAAAAATTCGTCATATTTCACAACCCGTGGTAGTTATGACTGATGCAAGAGCGGTGCTTCGGGCACTCCAATCTGAAACACTACCTTGTATACGAAAACTACTCTCCAAACTATGCAGCCGATGTAAGGTAACTATGCAATGGATACCATCCCACTGTGGAGTTCCTGGAAATGAAAGAGCTGATAAAGTAACTAAAGAAAGTGCAGATGAAGAACAACCGGACCTACCAGTCTCTTATCAACAACAGAAGAAAATAATTAAATCAATCAGAAATCCACCAGAACCGGCCCAAGACGATTACCATTTTATGGACAAACCAGAGCAAGTTGTTATTATACGCCTTAGAACAGGACACAATAAACTTCGAGGCACATGTACACACAATTTTTAAGCGGATAAATCAGCCATGTACACATGTGGATTGGCACATGATCATGTTTTCCAAGACTGTCCCAAATAAAACATTTCAAGTCAAAACTTTTGGCCAAGAGAAACATAGGTGCAAGTCAAACTGTACAGGTCGCTAAGTGAATTACAAGAGATAGTAATGTTCATATGGACATTGCAGATATAGATAATCTATTTCACGCGAACGAAAGAAGAAGATTACGTTTGATTATCCTTTTCACAACAGCCAAAAGTATGTCGCTTTCAGACAGTGGTACGAGAATCGCATCGTAGAAGATGCGGACATCACTACCTATAGGAATAAACTCACAGGGAGCAAGTACAGCAGGGATCTATCAGTCATCAGTAGAAATTATCCTCGTCGACACGCGTTTCGGCCCACGATTCCTAGACGCATTCGGAGGTGGGCCCTCCTGAGTTCATGAAGCTCAGGGCTGGTTCCCTGCTGCACGAAATTACCGGATGGTGTTTTTCTTTCGGCTAGAGACAAGACGACTTGGTGGTTTCGCAGAAGGTACTGTGAGATAAGAAGCCGTTGCGGCAGCCTAATTAAAGCAGTCAGCATGCCTGGACGATCGAGCGACAAGCTTGCGTTTGGTTTACCAGACACATGTTAGACTTTTATTAGCAGGTGGCAGAGGAACACTGGCAGACACTTCGGACACGATGGACTTTCAAAGGGGTGAGAAACCCTTTTCCACTAGAGACCCGGACCAGCTCACCGAGGCCCGTCCCCTACGTTGTTGCGTTGCATCTAAAGCCAGCTAGAGGCCCTTTTGGCTACCTCTCCCAGTTTTTTAAGTGTTCGTTTCCGTTCATTACCGCGCAATCCTAGTTCTTTCACCACATTATAGAGCCAAGTTGAAACGAGGCCTCTCGCTCCCACTTCGACGGCAAATACCCGTACCGTGTACGCCTTGTTTCTCCTCAGACCGGCTGCTAAATCACTGTACTTCTCGAGCTTGTACATGTGACTCTCCTCCATCCGCGACTCAAACGGGACAGTCAGCTCAATCAAGATGAGCTGCTGTTTTTGCGCAGAGTGGAGAACTATGTCCGGTCGCAGGCCGGTCTTACGGATCAACTCTGGGTACCGTTCATGGCCTGGCAGATCAACCGCCAGTAACCAGTCCCTCGCAGAGTCTAGCACAGATGGAGCGAATGCGTTTTGGTTGACCTTACCTTTTGGAACCTGCCCAGCCTTGAGGTAACGAATGGGGACGTTGCTAGAACTGGCTCTGGCGTTAGCACTCATTCTAGCCTGGTCGACAATGGCTGATAACTCTTTTAGCACCTTGTTTTGTCGCCAGGTATATCGGCCTTGACCTAGGGCTTTCCTGCACGCGGACAGGACGTGTTCCAATGTCTGCTTCGCTTTACACAACGGGCAAGTCGGATCATTGGTAGCAGACCACTTAACCATGTTAACACCGGACGGTAATACATCGTACGCCGAACGAACGATAAAGCTCAGTCGCAGTGGGGTCATC